CAGGAGGGATTCCCCCATCAACAATGACCATGTTTATGGAGAAATTGAGTGATTTTCTTTTTCTGTGACTCATGGTTGCAGGAAAGAAATTGCTCCGCCTATGGCCGGCTTTAAGTAGATGTGAGCCAGTGAATGGTGTTTCATAATCAATTGACATTTGTTTTTTTTTTCCAAAATTGTTGTTTTCACCATTTTTCATCCTTGGTGGAATTTCAGGGCTGTTGATCTCCTTCGGTCTCTTTGCAAACACTTCTTGTTCTACATGCACTCCAATGGTGACTGCATGGCCTTTCTTAGGATAGGTTCCTGATGGCGATAACAGTAGACCATGCCTGCTTAATGTGCTTTGAAATGGCCACTTGTAGCCTGTGGGACAAGGGGACAATGCAGGAGAACAATTGGAAACAAGGAGAGATCGTTGTCACCGTATAACAGGAAGTCCCTGAATAAATACTTTTATGGCAGGACCAACAAATTTCAGTTTATTAACAGGTGCAGATTAAAATGTATGGAATATTAACATAGTAAAGCGTATATGGCATTTCAGTGACTGGATTTACATATACCTTTTTTATTATTATTATTATTATACAGGATTTATATAGCGCCAATAGTTTGCTTAGCGCTGTACATTATAATGGGAGACAGTACACGAGACAGTACAGTAACAATACAATTCAATACGCGAGGGGTTCGAGGGCCCTGCTAATTGGAGCTTACAATCTAGGAGGGAGGGAATAGTGGTACAGGAGGAAATAGCTGTGGGGGATGGAGTGGTAGGAAGAGTGGGGGAGTTCAGTAATTAGCTGAGGGCGGGGTAGGTTTCCCTGAAGAGATAGGTTTTCAGGGTGCGCCTAAAGGTGAGGAGAGTAGGTGATAGTCTGATGGATTGGGGTAGGGAGTTCCAGAGGATGAGGGAAGCCCTGGAGAAGTCCTGGAGACAGGCATGGGAGGGGAGACCAGGTAACTAGATAGTGGGAGGTCTTGTGAGGAGCGAAGAGTACGTTTTGGGTGGTATTTGGATACTAGATCTGTGAGGTAGTTTGGGGCAGTATTATGAACAGCTTTATACGTCAATGTTAGCATTTTGAATTTTATCCGTTGGGCAATCGGAAGCCAATGGAGGGATTGGCAGAGGGGGGTGGTAGATATGGAGCAGTTTGTAAGGTGGATGAGTCTGGCCGCAGCATCCAAGATAGACTGAAGCGGGGATAGCCTGCGGTGAGGTAAGCCGATCAGGAGGGAGTTACAGTAGTCAAGGCGTGAAATAATAAGGGAGTGAATGAGTTGCTTAGTGGTTCCAGGGTTAGCCTTATTTGGAGATGTTGCGGAGGTGGAGTCTACATGAATTTGTCAGTGATTGGACCTGGGGCTGGAAGGACAGATTGGAGTCAAGGATGACACCTAGTACTCTGGCTTGAGGGGTGGGACTGATGTTGGTGTTGTTGGTCTTGATGGGAAAGTTGAGGGGGGCGCAGGCTGGGGGGAAAACTAGTAGCTCAGTTTTGGAAAGATTTAGTTTGAGGAAGTGGAGTGACATCCAATCAGGTATGTCGCTCAGTAGGATTGTGATACGGGCGGAGACTGAAGGGGTGAGGGGTAGAGATATAGATTTGCGTGTCGTTGGCATAGAGATGGTAGTTGAAGCTGTGAGAGTGTATCAATTGGCCAAGGGAGGAGGTGTAGATGGAGAAGAGAAGGGGCCCGAGGAAAGAACCTGCTCCAACAGTAAAGTGAACAGACATCCTCAGTTTTCAGGGACAGTCCCTACTTTCAGGAGGCTGCTCCTACTTTTAAAGTGTCCATGGATTTATCCATAGATGTACCCTGTGTCCCCAATTCCCTGGCTGGTGGCCCCTTTAAAGCACTTTAATCAGTAAAGCAACATTTTTTTTTCTGTTCCTCCCCTTCCCTCTTACATAAATGCAAAAGATAAATAATATTTACCTTTTTATTGATTTTGTGCTGGCCTAGGCTGGGATAGAGGTGACATGGCAATACCAGGAGGTAGTAACAAAGGTGCACAAGTGCAGCATGATGCAACTTGTGCACAGAGCAGAAGTGTGCGCAAACACAACATTTTGGTACATAAGTACTATAGTGGCCCGCAACATTTATGTTCATGCTCAAATCTGCCTATGTATACGTAATAATGCAGTGGGCTTCTATAGTGCTCAGCTATCAGAAATAGGGGCATTTGTGTAAATGCGCAGAAACTCCACCGCACATGCGTAGATGTGCCACCAGTCTATGCGCAACATTACTTACTGACATTGAAATATGGTTTATATAAGCAAATATATTATCAGCATTTTGCTTTGTTAGTCATTTCTGAATTTCTACATGTAAGAATGGTGTAAAGCACTTTTGCTCCCAGTAGGTGATCTTTTTGTTTGGTCGTGGAGCGTAGTATGGTTGTGAAAATTAAGTGGACAGGTCCTCTGTTATATCCGAGTGGCAGGTGCAGGCACTGAAAAATTGTGTACTTGGAAACAAAGTTTCTAGAATTTACATAATCAGGCCATGAGTATTAAAATGTTACTAAACCCAGGACCCTGCATTCACTATATCTGGTCTCCCACAGTACACACAACATGGAAATACAATTATTTTACTAAATATAAACTGCTAAATACCTTTTCTCATCAGAAGGATATAGCAGTCTTGTACCTTATATCCAGCTGAGCACTGGTTAATCTTGCAGGAGGAGTTTTCGTTCTGCTCTGCCTGTCCTATGAGGCTGCAAGACCCCTGACCCTCTGTCTGGACAGTGCTGATTGGCCCTGTGACAATTACTTGCACTCTCGCAAGAAAAAAAAAACCTCTCTAGCAATACACACCAAACTGAGCATGTGCAGCTTCCCCCCAAGGCTCTGTTCTATTAGCAGATGGATTGGGGACTGCGGAAGAAGCAGAGGATCAGAGAAGACAGGATCAAACATCTTTTTCCCACAGTGCAAAAGATTAACCCCTTAGGTTCCACAGTGAGTATAACAAGCATGCTTTACTGCATATACTGACTGATTTTATGGTTGTGGGTTTAGTAACACTCTAAGTATATATATAATTTTTTTTACATCTATTTATTACATTTAACCGCTTGCCGACCTCCAGCCCGCATGGTACTGTGGATGGGCGGCAGCTACAGGCAAAGCGGTGTACTGGTATGCCGCTCTGGCTGTACTAACACAGTGGGACGCTGTGCTCCCCACCCGCGACCGCTGTGTCCACCAGACACAGCGGAATGAAGATACTGGGGAAACGGGACCCAGTGATTCTGTGATCGCAATGCAACCACATGATCACAATGTTAGCAAAGTAATCAATCTGATTCATAACGGGCTGCTTCTCTTCCCGGTAATCTGTGTTTGGCCCACAGCTGTCACATGGTACTTGGGGCTAATCACAGCACCCTGTACCATGGACCAGCTCTAGCCAATCACAGATCACTATTAATTTGAACTGTCGTGAACTTAACCCATTCATGACAGTTCAAAGCAAGCTTTGCATTGCAGGAACAATAATCTATATTGCTCCTGCAAAGTGTAAAAAAAAAAAAAAAAAAAATACTGATCACCCTCCCCCAAAGTAGTGAAATGTTTCTATGGTAATATTGTACCACTCTGATAAAAGTATTTAAAAAAATAGTTTAAAAAAGTAAAAAAAAAAAAAACTATTTAAAAAAAAATTTTAAGATATTTTTTGTTAACTACTTGCCGACCTCCTGCCCGCAAAGTGTGGGCGACCAGTGGCTCTGGGCAAACCATTTAAAACCCTTATGTTGTTTTCTCTTTTGGGGTGTGAATGCACCTGCACCCCGGCTGCCCCTCCTGTCGGTCCAGGGGGAGAAGAGAGAACACCGCATTGTGAGTAAAAGCATTACATTTTACGCACACACTTTAGATAAAGCATATTGAACCCTCTGATTGCCCCTATTAACCCTTTTATCACCCGTCACCCAGCAAGTGCCATTAATACAGTGTCAGTATATAGAATTTTTCACTGATCACTGTATTCCTGCCACTAGCGACATCAGATAGCGTCCGGGTCTGTAAGTGCCCCTCCCAGCTAGGGTCAGCTAGCGTTAGATTGCCCGCACACTGTCACATTCACGCTATAGGTCGCTGATCACCCCCATTACTAGTATAGTGTTTGTACGGATTAATATAATAATCACAAACAGAACTATACTAGTGCCTCCTTTTTATAGTGTCCCCAAAAAATGCAGTGTTAGCAGGATCAGCCTTGTTCACTGCCAGCACTAGCGTTTAACCCCTCCACTGTTTTTCACGGAAGATTTGTACCAATTGATTGTGGGCCAAAGCAATTTAGATGCACAACAATACATGGCCACCCACCCAAATTCAGCTCTTGACAGACAATTCACATGGAAACCTATCACGGTTTCTGAAGTTAAAACCTGTTTGGGCCTAACCCTCAACATGGGCATTACAAAAAAGAATGAATTGCGTTAATGTTGATCTAGAGACCTGATTCATCATATGCCTGTGTTCTCTGCTATTACATATATTCCCAACATGGACCAGCAATGTACTGGTACGTCCCTGGACTTTGAGCGGTTATACCGGGATGATGCCTGTAGCTATAGGCATCATCCAGGTATGATTTTTTTCAGCTGGCAGTCGGCTATCATGTAAAAGCAATCTTAGCAACTAATTAGTCTTTTTAACCATTTAAATGGTTAAAGAGACTAATTAGTCAAGGGCTGATTGAAAAACAAAAACGAATGGGTTCCCCAATCCACACATGCCAAGTGGATGAAGGAACATTCTCTATTGTGCCTTTCTGTTCTGACAGTGGGACTCCTTTGCTGTTAAAATACACTGGTCAGCAGCAGCAGCAGTTGCTGATCAACAAATGTTTTCCAACAATTGCTGTCAGCAGAAGTTGTTCATTAGATCAATTTCTGTCAAGCGGGAACAGCCATAGATGGATTGAAATTTGGACAGTCCCTGCTGAACCATCTGTTGACTGCTTTAAAGTGTTAATAAACCCACAACAGTACAATCAGTCTGTATATGCTTTATAGCATGCTTGTTATACTCACTGTGGAACCTAAGGGGTTATTCCTTCTGTATTGTGTAAAAAGGCAGTTTGATCCTGTTTTCTATGCCCTCCTCTTGTTCAGATGTCCACCTAATAACACCGCCTGATACCGTAGCCACACGCACATGCTCAGTTTATTGTTATTGCTAGAGAGGGTGTTTTTTTCTTGGGAGAGTGCAAGTGATCAGCACAGGGCCATTCAGTACTGCTTAGACAGAGGTCAGGGGTCCTGCATCCTCCTAGAGATTAATTGACACTCCTGCAAGCTTTAAGCAATGCTCTGCTGGACACTGAAAGAAGTCACAAGACTGCTCTAAATGCTGATGAGAAAAGGTATATATCAGTTTATATCCTAAATTGTAAGCTCCTATCCCTCTTGTATTGAACTGTATTGTTGCTGTATTGTCTCCCGTTATATTGTAAAGCGCTGTGCAAACTGTTGGCACTATATAAATCCTGTATAATAATAATAATAATATTTACTATAATAATTGCATTGGTTTAGTAACACTTTAATCTCCAAACTGGATAGGCAGCTAAAATACTGTATATCCCATATCTATATTTATTCAGCTTTAAAGTGGAACGTTCACTATCTATAGTCGGCCCAAGCACATTCATCACATGATACATTCTGACACCTGCTGTAATCAGTTTGTTATATGGTGATAAAAAAAATTTTGGGGAAAAAAACGCATACACTTTACAGAGTATGTATGGAAACCAAGTTCTAAAAAAATGGAATTCTTGATATCAAACTTGGTTAAACTTTGCATTCATCTGTATGCAAAGCTATTCTAAATAATGAAATACTTGTTCAGCCCCTCTCAGTGACATGACGCAGTTTTTAAAATTACTCATTCATATAAGTAGTAGAGGGTTGTATATGATCTTGCTCAGTTAGTATTACTTATTTAATGTCAGCCGCGTCTGTATCATCCAGATTAGTCAAACTCTTTCTTCTTTTTGCTAACTGCGATGATATCTGGCCTGTTTGATCTTTGTTCTCTGTAATTCTTTATTTATAAAAGTTCTTTTGCTCCTGAACTATGAGTAAAGAATTTGCAGACAAATTACAGACACAGGTACATAAGTCTAGAACACATATTACTACAATAAATAATGTACACAGTCCATCACTATGGACATATAAGGGCTCATGCAGCTGGGTGTATAGCACTACGTCTGGTATATTTCCCCACCAGGGAGCCCACAGGTCCTACCTACAGCCACGTATTAAGGTCAGTTGAAGTAACCAACTATATGCATGTACAACGTATACAAACGTAGACACAAAAATGTATATGGCATACAACTCAGTCTACATCCAGAGTTGTACATCCGTGTGCATAGACGTGTATATAGTGCAGCAGTTCTGAGCACTGTCACTGTGAGAATCAAGTTTATACCCCAGGATTCTCAACTAAACAGGTTTAGGGGCTCCAGTGGGTTTATTTAATGCAGAGGAAACTGGCTTTTCAGTTTCCTCGTTTGTTCCTAAAGTCTGTTTTGGGATCTGGAGCCTGTAGATTTCAAAGTGATCTGGGAGGGATGAAATCTCCTAGTCCTGGGCCCAGGTTTTCTTAATCCCCAGCATAATAATTGTACAGGTGTGTGCAGGGCTTTAAAGAATGACCTGACTAGGCTTTAAAGAATGACCTGACTAGGCTTCTGGGCTCCATCCCGGCAGACAGGAGGTCATTGCCCAGGAGTCAGGAGAGCTCCACCTAGGAGAGGTGGGAGCCAGAGCAGCCAGGGGCTGTATACCTCAGAGAGCCATGAGGCTAAATATTTGTTTCATTTGTATTGATGGTGGATATCCCTGCGTGGGAAACCAGTATTGTGTGGAACTTTCCTTTAAATAAAATTGGATAAAAATGCCCTTAAAAAGAAGGAAGCAAGTGGCTTTGTGCTTTAAAAGACTCTACCCTTGATGCTAGTTCTCACAATAGGTATCACGTACCTGGTGATGGTGGACAATGGAGAGAGGGCTTCCCTTGCGGCTAAGTTCCGGACTCCCTTGAGAGTGGGACAGGGGGAGTCTGGCCCAAAGTTGCACAGGTTGCCTGTAGGAGTGATGGTTGGTGGTCCACTAGGAAGCACAGCTGGTGTACGGGGATAGGTCTGCAGACAGGAGGCGCCTGTGTGTGGTATGCAAGCCCTTCCAGGATTTGGATGTTTACTGGGTAGTTGGTTCAAGCCAAGGTCAGGTACCAGGTGGGAATCAGAGGGGTTGTAGTTAGATGGGATAGCCGAGGTCATTCACAGAGGAGCGAGAGAGAGAGTATCCGTAAGCCAAGCCGAGGTCAGATCAGGGGTAAATCAGAGTAGACAGGTCCAGGAGCAAGCCAAGTCAGTAACAGGAAATCACAAGGGTACGGGGAGCTAGAGATCATCCAGCAACTAGAGGAAGTGATGAGCCTCCTTATAAATGCTGTCTGGCACCAGACTGAGGCTGATGTGTACTTCTGCGGCCATGTAGAGTATTGGCAAAAATGCCATATCTTCCAGAACACCTGCCGTGGACAGGACCCTGACAATAGGTAGTACTTACGTATACATGTGTATAGCCACATACAAATGTTGGCTTCTATAGGCACTGCCGATTTGCATGACCCTCTACTATGCGGTCGCTGTGATAACCAATCTCAACTATCACTCATGTAAACAGTGTAGTGTTTATATTGGTAAGACTGCCCTTTCTTCTTACAGTGAAGGAAAGGGGAGGAATGAGGAACTATTGAATGAAAAAATGGTGTAAAATGCTTAAAAAAACAATATATCAAAGCAGCTGGCATAAAAGGCGAACCTCTCAAACCTCCTAATCAATAAAACACAACAATATGCAGCGCTATGGTGTAAAATGCTTAAAAAAAACAAATAAATAAATAGGTAAACACAAGTGAGATTCTACAGAGTGCCAAATAACACAATGAAGTGGATAAAACGTTCTGATATGATATATAAAGTGCTCAAGGTGATGAAATGAATTATATTAGAGTCCAAAACAGCAAAACGCCTTAAGGTGCAAATCCGTGATTCCTGTGATAGTAGATGTATATTGCACTAACCCTCAAGGTTAAGTTCCTGGTTATACTGCACCTCTGTGAGTGTTCCCCCCCCCCCCCCGCTGGATGGATGTCATGTCTCTGGAGCCTGGAGATGTATGCTGAGTGTTGCCTGACATGCTGAGGTTTGCCAGATGACCCACAAAGTCCTGCTGTTCCAGATCCAGTTGACCAGGAGTGGTTTGAATTACTCAAATGCGCATTTTATTGCACATTCTGGTTAGTGCAATATACATCTACTATCACAGGAATCACGGATTTGCACCTTAAGGCGTTTTGCTGTTTTGGACTTTAATATAATTCATTTCATCACCTTGAGCACTTTATACGTCATATCAGGACGTTTTATCCACTTCATTGTGTTATTTGGCATTCTGTAGAGTCTCACTTGTGTTTACCTATTTAATTATTTGTTTTGTTTTTTTAAGCATTTTACACCATAGCGCTGCATATTGTTGTGTTTTATTGATTAGGAGGTTTGAGAGGTTCGCCTTTTATGCCAGCTGCTTTGATATATTGTTACCTTGCGCTCGTTTGTTTATTTTAGGTGCTATATAAGTACCTGTGATAAATAAATAATAAAAAAATTAGTTCCAGATCAGCAGCAGTTCATTCATCTTCATCATCCCACTGTATCGGACCTGTACAGTAACCCCTTCACTACCTCTGTGCACGCCCTTTACATTTATTGGATTAAGTGCACCAATACCAAGCTCCATGATTTAACCCCAACAATACCAGTATGTTTCTTTATTTACAAAAAAAATTGTGGCAAAAATGAGGTCACCTTGGGGTGTCTACTTTCCAAAAAAGGGTCACTTTGGGGGGGTTACATAGTTACATAGTTAGTCGGGCTGAAAAAAGACAAAAGTCCATCCAGTCCAGGTTTTGTACTGTCCTGGCATTTTTATTTGATATGTTTTTGTATCAGAAAATAAGGGAAACATTTTTTCAAAAAGTTTATCCTTTTATATAATAAAAAATAAAAAGCTTAGTGGTTATTATAAACCACCAAAAGAAAACTCTATCTGTCTAAAAAAAAGAGATATCTGTATTTGGGTACAGCATTCCACCAGTGAGTAACTGTCAAACAAGCTCAAACAAACTATCACATAACTGAAAAATGGCCTGGTAATGATGGGGTATTACAGGCTGATTCTCAAGCAGTTTAAGTGTAGGTTAGGGCGAAAAACATACATAGTAGCAGTACATATATGCAATACATGCAGTTGCCTATGTTTTATCCCTTTAAAGGCCCTGCAAGTACAAAAAAAAAACAAAAAATCTGTTGATCATCAAGAAATGACCTCTAGTTGTAGCCAACAACACACAGCATGTTTGTTCACAGAGTGGTGTCAGCCCTGCCCATTTGTCTCTTGCTAAATTATGGAATCTCCCCCCTTCCCCTTTTCATCTCCAAAACATAAAGAATCTTGGATCTATATGCCAAGATAACTAGAAGGACTAATTAGCCTCCTTGAGATAACCCAAAAGTGTGCATATGACAGCTTTAAAAGTCTGACATGATCCACTGGTGTTTTATTTTTTGGACAAATAAAAAACAAGAAAAAAAAAAAACACATCCAATAGTTGTTTGAATCTTGAATGAAAACACTGATAAACTAATTTTTGAAATGATACTGGATTAAATGGGGGCCTTTTATATCCACCTCTGCTTACATTTAAAAGGTTCACTCCCAATATATGTATCAGGGATATAACAGACCACTTCCTTAAAAAAAATAAAATAAAATAATAACTTTGGACTGAATTTGCTATATGTTTTGCTCTTATCACATTATCAATGATGCTTTTCTTTTTCTTAAACATTTCCTCGATGTTTTATCTTACTGTGTTTTAGGATGTAGCTATATTGACTAATACCAAGAGGAATGCCACAGTGGTGTGCCATGACACTGTCTCATTGCTTGCCATATCTAAACAGGTAAGTGTTTTTAATAAATTTTAGAGCTATAAAAACAGTATTCTACTGCCACACAAGTGAAGCCCATTTGGGGATCAGCGCTATATAGGTATCCACCACTGGAACTGAACACATGCCATAAGGTTCAAGTGTGGTCTTGAGTGGACTAACTAGTTTGGCATGGCCGACCATATCTCTCTGTTGACCGCAGTAGAATTTGGAACTTTCTATCAGAAGATTGAGCTAATGATCAAAAAAAGAGAAGGCTGGGCTAAGCTGCTCATTCTGCTGCTGCAGTGACCATCAGGGCTGCTGTTAGAAACCATGAGGCCCCATGTAGGCAACCTGACAAGGCCCCCCTCCCAAAAAACACATTTTACTATGCTTCAGTTATAAGTGGACACAGTGAGTGATCAGTACCGATCACTCATTGTGTTCATTCAGGAAAACAAAGGGGCTGGTAAATGCGACATATTTACCAAATCTTTCCCCCACTCTACATCCTCAAAGATCCTATTGTGTGCTTAGAGCTGCCAGTGGAAAGAAGATGAGGGAAGCCGGCAGCACTGTGAGGGCACACAGGGGGGTCTGTTCTGCAGGGGGAAACGTATGGTGCACAGGGAGGGTGATGACGAAGTGGGGGGGGGAGATTTACTGCAAATGATGCCCTGTATGGCTCTCTCTGCAGAAGCTGAAAACCAGTGGGAGGGAGATGAGAAGAAGACGGTTTTCAGCTGCTGCAGAGAGAGCCATACAGGGGATCGGTTCCAGTAATTGCCCCTTGTTGTGCCAATCACCCTCCCTGCCCACATCCTATTCACCCAACTTCCTGGGCCCCCCCGCTGGTCTGGGCCCTGTACAGGAGGACTGGTGGTACTCCCTTTTCCACAGCCCTGGTGACCATTACTAGAATTACAATATTTAAAATCAAGATGATAATACAACATTATTGAGCTACTTGTAGAAAAAGAATAAAGTAACTGAATATGTATCCACACCACTGACTGCAGAATTAAACTAACACCAAAATAATTGCCTTTAAAGTACAAGATGAACTTCACTGCTATTAGTTACTTCTCAGAATTAGCATGTGGAAAGTCACCAGTAAATAAATGTCACTCGAGCTTGTCTGCAGATATCAATGACACGTGCTTCAGTATGTAGTTTTTTCAATTTTCTGACTGCACAGAAATAAATCACACAGCGTGTAATGAAACCCTCCTTCGTTTACATTGAGTAATATACGAGCCCGGTAATTCACAGCATAATTTTAATATGATGTTCTGATTATACATTATAGTACCAATTTCAGTCCTGCCAAGTGATTAATGGTAAAATATATTCAGAACGAAGGAATCATTTCTGCAAATGTTGTAGAATATGAGAGATTGATTAGAACCATAATGTTATACAATTGACTTAGCTCATCATTTTATTTTCTTCTATAAAAAAGAGGATTTTTTTGGGGGAAAAAAAAAACTTCAGTTCCAGGAACTCTTGTCCTTCATGGGAGCTGAGGCTGTTTTTTTTCTAAATCTGTTCATTTTATAGTAGTATATAATCATTAAATAGATGGTCTAATTCTTGCAGGAAAGGCCTTCGTTATTTTTCCAGTAGAAGCTAATAGTGTACTTATACATATTCTATATTACTTTTCGACTTTTCTACAAAAAAGCATTTATTTATATAGCATCTACAAACTGTTCACTTCTTTACAAACTAGACAGTGTGTTCATACAGACTAGACAGTTATACAGTGGAGCTTCAAATGTCATGTACCAACTACAATTTTACAAATATATCCTTGGACCAAATTTTGGGTAAGGCTAGGTTCATATCTATGCAGGCTGCAGTTGATGCATTTTTCTGGTGTGTTTTGCATTTTTGAATATGCGTTTTTGATTGGGGTTATTTTTTGGCTAATAGGGAAACATGACAGTTCTTTTCATGTAGTGAGACTTTGATGCGACTTTACAATCTCTGGCACTCAAGTAGCATCAAAGTAGCATCAAAGTAGTGTGGGAACCTTTATGTGTCCTCAGGTAGGGTTAAGGGCTAGGGTTAGGGTAAATGTTAGGCTTGGGTTACGGGATAGGGTTAGGGTTAAATGTTAGGGTTAAGGACTAAGGTTGGGGTTAAGGGCTAGGGTTAGGATTAAATGTTAGGGTTAAGGGCTAGGATTAAATGTTAGGGTCAGGGTTAGCAGAAAACATTAGGGTTAGTGGTAATTATTAGGGCTAGCTGTAATTGTTAGGGTTAGCATTCTAGCCCTAACAATTACTGTAAACCCTAACAATTACTGCTAACCCTGACTTTATCTTTAACATTTAACCCTAACCCTTACCTTTAACCCTAGCTCTTAACCCTAACCCAAGTCCTATACCCTAACCCTAACATTTAACCCTAATTCTAGCCCTTAACCCTAACCCAAGTCCTATACCCTAACCCTAACATTTAACCCTAATTCTAGCCCTTAACCCTAACCAAAGTCCTATACCCTAACCCTAACATTTAACCCTAATCCTAGCCCTTAACCCTAACTTTGGACACATAAAGGCTCCTGTACTACTTTGATGCGACTTTGATGCTACTTTGATACTACTTGAGTGCCAGTGAGTGTAAAGTAGCATTAAAGTCACATCAAAGTCACACTACATTAACAGAACTGTCATACTTTCCTATTAGCCAAAAAAAATGCATCAAAAACTCAACGCTTACGTTTGTGGTGCAGGTCCATTGAAGTCTATTACATGCAAAACGCAGTCTTCTGCTGGAAAAAAATGTCCCTGACCCATCAGCAAAAAATGAACAGATGTGAACTAGATCCATAGGAAACAATGTTAAATGGGCTGTAGTGCGTTTCTGCAAAATGTAAAATGCACTAAAAAATGCATAGGTATGAACCAAGGGTAAAAGTTGATAAAGCTAAAGTTTAATCTCCTTATACTTTTTCCTTCCTTCATTTCCCCCTGATTAGCATACTAACGAAATGCTTAAATAAAATCTTTCCATTTTAATTACATACCTTATATTTGATCCAATTGAAGGCTGGGCGACGGGCAGGTGGAACATTCCTCCATGTTTCATTGGGTACCTAGTCTGGGTCACACAAGAGGATTGCCCCTGTCATAGGTTCTTCTGAGCTATGCTAGGCACCTTAACAGTATCACTCTATTTTAGACATGGGGTACCTTTATTCTGCCGTTTTCATCAATGCAATGGGACAAGGCTGAGGCCACCATCAAGGAATACTCAACTGTAAAGTAGGCCTCTGCTCTTAGGCATGATTGTACACCATGTACACTTGCATGACAACTGTCTTCTGGTAGCAGAATGGGGCCCCACCGTGCACCTAGCGTGGCTTAGTATGTGCACTTAAATTAGACCTTAAAGTGTTACTAAAGCCACAACAGTAAAATCAGTCTATATATGCAATAAAGCATGTCTTCTCTGATCCTCCCCTCTTCCAGTGTCCCCCTCTTATCTCCTGATAAGACATATCATGTGGAGACACTCTGCACATGCTTAGTTTGGTGTATTATAGATAGGTTTTTTTTTTCTTGGGAGAGTGCATGTGATTAGCACAGGGCCAATCAGCACTGTCCAGACAGTGGGTTAGGGGTTCTGCATCCTCTAGAGCAGAAAGAAAACTCATCCTACAAGATTAACCAGTACTCTGCTAAACACTGATAGAAGTCACAAGACTGCTCTAACTGCTGATGAGAAAAGGAATTTAGAAGTTTATATTTAGTAAAATAATTGCATTTCCATTTTCTGTGTACTTTGGGAGACCAGATATAGTGAATGCAGGGTCCTGGGTTTAGTAACACTTTAAGCTTCCGTACCCCTGTACAGGGTGGGAACCTCAGCGGTGCAGATCCGCTCTCATTGCTATGAGATACAGACCAATGGTGGAAGGAGAGCCAACAACATCTCCCTCGATGCTAGAGGCCATACCACCTGCAACAGGCACACGGCAATGACAGGCTGCTGGGGCTGACTGTTAGCCTCCTCTATCCTTGGTAACCACTTTTTATATTGCACCAGGATGACTCTTTAAGTGCTATCTTCATACCCCAATGTGACTAGTGACCCGCAGCAGTGAACTAAGTGTAAAATATGCTGGTTACTTGCATTGCACACCTTTAAGAACTTCAGACTAGGCAGAAAGCAAAGTCTCAATGTTCTACATAGAAAAATTAAACATACACAAGAGCAGTTCTTCCCTACATTCATAAACCCTAATTCAGGCTTGTGTGCTGCCTCAGCATACCTGCAAAAGTGGTAAGTCTGTTGGTATTGGCATAGTCCAGCAGCTGGTGACTTTGGGGTGAACCCCAGATTTCCTGGGTGCTTCCTACATTGCTACAGGTTCCAGGATGTCTGGAAAGGTGTAACAGTATGCTCTTTCAGGCCAGGAATTCACAGCAAGACTCTTGGCTCTGGATCACTGTCCCTTTTTATAACCCCAGGATCAGTGGGTCAGACCCAAAAAGCTCACTAAACAGCAAACCTGGGAACCTAGGTTAACCCTAACCCTCCCATCTGGGGCAGCACATAGCTAGCTTTAAAAAAGGGTTGGGTGCAGACCCAAATCACTGTTATGGCCATTAGTTAGACAATAGAAATTGCAGCCATAAACCAACTTAGCATAACAAAGAAAAATAAATATATGGTTACATTTCGCTGACTGATTAAAATTTTACTGATTGACTTGTTTTGGGAAGTGCAAGCTCTGCAGCTGTCCTTCTCATACTTTCTTCACTACTTGGCGAGTCACTGACCTGGAATAAGTATGTGTATATCAGTTGTCCTTACCCTTTACTGACCTCATGTTTGTAGTAGGAAATTACCCTCTATATAGCGCTGGTCCCCAAATGTTTTGATATGAGGGCCACACTGTATATTATTTTAGGGCAAAAAAATATCTAAATATTTGTAAATGAGTGAATAAAATTTAATTGTATAAATAAGTTTTACTCTGAGCTTTTTTTTGCAATCAGCATGATATGATTCAGAAAAACATAGAATTAAATTCAGTAAAACAAAAGAAAAACATTTCAAATAAGCTTGAGATATTAAAAAAGGTAGAAGAAAATACATTCAGACTGCACCGTTCTCATTTTAATGGGTCCCCGTCATCAGGGTCCCTATCAAAGTCCACCTTATATCATAGAAATCATAGAAACATTTTTGTCTGAGTATAGATCTCTGTTTGTCCCAAGCATGGGTAACGCCATTTACTGTTGACTGGCTCACTACCTCTGCTGAAAGTTTATTCCAGACACCAACTACCCTTTCAGTAAAATAATACTTTTAAAGGTTAGATTTGAACTTTCCTCCAGTTCCATCAGGTTCCCTCCTTTCATCAGGGTCCCAATTAGGGTCTTCTTTACATCAGGGACCACAGCAGAGTCATTCCACACATCAGGGTCCCCATCAGAATCCCCCTTACATATGAGTTCCCATCAGAGTCCCTTCTTACAGCAGGGTCTCCGTCAGAGCAGAGACTGTGCATATCAGCTGTGGGCTGGATAAAATCTTGTAGTGCGCCACATGTGGCCTATGGGCCGTAGATTGGAGACCCCTGCTATACATTCTGCTATACATTATAGAAAGAGATAACTATGACAACCTTGGGACTTGCACCTTCAAAAACAAGTCAGTTCTCCATTCCTCCACCAATCAAAAGATCATCAACTCCAATGAGATTGTGAACTCTTTTACAGAGTATATAGTGCCTTATATATCTTTAAGGAAGACCTCCAAACCCCTCAGCCCACTCCCCAGGCTGTTGATGACTTCTTGGCTCGGTTACAGCTTCCATCCTTCTCAGATGAACACCTACCAACGCTGAACACCTCATTCTCTGAGTCTGAGATCATTAGAATTATTGACTCCTTGCCAATCGGGAAAGCTCCTGGCTCCTCTCCAACCCCCATACACAAAGGCATTTCTTTAATTTACAATACTCTTTAGGAAAAGCTGACCTTTGCAAATCTAAACCTTTCCTACAATGGGAGGAGGACTTAGCTGTAAAATAAACTGTCGCACAATGGAGTGATGTCCTTAAGGTGGTCTACACAGCTGCACACAGTGTTCAATACTGGGAGTTGACCCAAAAAATGTTCCTTTCGCTGATATTTAACTCCCTACCACTTAGCCCAGAATTCTTTCTCTCAGTCACCGCTGTGTTGGTGTGGCTGCAGCCAAACGGGCATCCTATTGCATATCCTATGGTCTTGTAAATGCATTGTTAGCTACTGGAAGAAAATATTCCAAATAATTTCAGAGGTGACAGGAGTATGGATATCACATAACTCTGCCTTGGCCATCTTGAATCTGGAAATTGATAGCTGCCAGACTCAAGATTGCCAAGCAATGGAAATCCCAGCATGCTTCTAACCCTTCGGAGGTTAATACCCTCACTAAACTTCATCGTTCCTATGAACACAGTCTGGCGCTGTGGAATAATAAAGTATTGGCCTTTGACTCCTAATTGGAATCATGGACCACCTGGATGAATAAATGATAAACAGTGACCGTAGACATATTGTAACATCTATTATTACTGTATAACTTGAATTCTGAATTCCTATGGACTACCATCACTTGTGCTGCTTTGTTCTCTGTATCTTGTTTAACATGCTATAGCTATCTTATTATGTCTCTGCTTTGCTGGAACACTTTGTATGCTTTGAAAAATCAATAAAAATCTATTGACAAAAAACAAAACAAAACAAGTTTAGCGGCCTAACAATTCTGGATTAAAAGAAGAAATCATTGTTGTTTCTGTGAAGACCAAAGAAATACCTATTCAGTCAATGTATTTCCTCATTTGTTTATCTCACCTACAGATTCCAAAGTTTCAAACTTCATGAAATTCATTCAACAACCTTTTTTTTTTTTTCAGGATTTTTTAAACATATTCCTGAGCAACGAATCCCAGGAAGGTCCAGATCATATGCAACTGTTGCAGAGCATTGATTTGCTTAGTGGTTGGCCCATTGATAAACTTCCTTACAACAATCCCAGAATCTGTGTCCACACCTTCTACAGGTACCTGTCACCTTTACACTCTTAGATATTCCAAACATCAAATTATTTAAATGGCATTTGTCACTTTATCCATTTAGAACAATGTGATGGGTTGTCTTGTAAGAAGCCCATACCTGTTTAATACCCGCTTTCCTCACACTTGCCTGCCACTCATGTGTACCCTGCAACAGTTTCATTATTAGATTACTGAGTCTTTAGATGAATATTAAATGCCAAACTTTTTTTTATTTTGGATAAAGTAGGGAAGGGTTAAAACCCCCAGGTTTTTGAATCTGTTTCCCATTGGCAAGATTTCTCCTAATTTCCTGTGGACAGAGCAGAAAGTGAGTGGAAATCTCTCTAAAGCCAGGGAAATTTACCTTTTAGACAAATGTTACCAGAATATGTGTCCCCATTGGAAGATTTCTACTGAGAACTCAAATTTTGGGATTTTCCCTCTTCTCTCCATAAAGGAGACGCAGACACCAATAAAAACATGTAAGAAGCATTAAGGGTGCCATACTAATTGGTCAAGGAGTCACTTTTTTATTAGATAATCAATAGAAGAAGAGCCAGTGTTTTTCAGTTGTTCAGGCACTCTTTCACCAAGGCTTATTGGATGCACTAGGTGGACTATATATAAAGTAACCTCAAAATTAAAAATAATGATAAAGCGAGCACTGGTAAAATTATATAGACTACTAAAATGGTATTACACAAGATAAATATAAATATAGGATAGATATGAAGGTAGCAGCTAGCACTCAGGGTATTGGCAACAGTCCCAGAATAAAAATATGTTAAAGTAAAAGTGCAGCGCTATAAATGCATGTTATCAATCATAAACTCATCTAAAGTCAAAAAAGTGCAAATAAGTGCAATAATGATGTAAAATGGTAAATGGTGCTAAAAAAAGGTTCATATAATCATTCCTGAATAATGTTAAAGTAATATGTTAAAGTAATAGTGCAGCGCTATAAATGAATGTTAACAATCATAGACGCATGTAAAGTCAACAAAGTGCAAATAAGAGCAATAATGATGTAAACTGGTAAATGGTGCTAAAAAGTTCATATAATCATTCCTGAATAATGGAATGTCCTTCTTGTGAGAGTACCAACTAGAGAGTGCCTATGAATGGCACATGTGGTTTATCCGTGACGAATAGTAGTGCATGAACTCGTGAAAGGTAAACCACTTTGGGACGGGGTGTACACTCACCAGAACAAAAGTATTAATGCACATCCCAAGGTTATACACATCACACATCTGGGGGTGCAGCAGTATGCTGGCAGCTATTATGGTTAGTCCAGGGGCACCTTTACATGCAGAACGTGTTGGTACACGAACCGCGTTGGGTGGAGCCCTATTACTGATGCCACGCTGCTGCCATTGAGGTGCGGAGCGGCCATCTTGCTGAGCTAATTCCTCCACAGGACCATGACATTTTGGCACCCACCCTGATGGATGTGATGGATGAAGCAGGATGACTAACCCATAGCTGCCAGCTTACCGCTGCACCCCCAGATGTGTGATGAGTATAACCCATGCGCATTAATAATTTTGTTCTGGTGAGTGCACACC